CCCTCCCCCCCACTGCTTGGGACATGCGCGCCGTGTGAACCACAGCATGTCAACGAGACAATTGAACCATAAAGAAACGGAAAACTTAGGAAACTTTGGGCTAGAGGATGGAAGCGTCCAATGTTGTGAATGTAAGGTAAGCAGGCGTTTTTCTCGTACCCGATTCTTATCTGAGTTTGCTCTGGCACACATCCTGTACAGAGCCATCCAAGGTACGCCTTCAAGTACGGCGTCAACGACCCGCACACTGGAGACCAGAAGCACGCCTCCGAGACCCGCGACGGCGACGTGGTCAAGGGCCAGTACTCGCTGGTGGAGCCTGACGGCTCGGTGCGCACCGTCGACTACACGGCGGACTCCATCAACGGATTCAACGCCGTGGTCAGCAAGTCCGGGCCGAACCTGCACGACCCGCCCGCACTGAAGGTGAGATGATCCACATCGAGTCTGGTTGGCTAACACTCTAGACTTTTCACTAGAAAATTTGCCTAGTAACTTTTCAGTGTTGTGTTGCTGTATATTATCAACAATTCTTTACCTAGTATTACAGAACATTTTCATTAAATATTTAAGTTACGGCTTTAGGGAAAGTTTCGTAATACTACAGACTTTCTTGATAATATACAACAGCTCAAAATTGGAGAAGTTAAATTAGGGCAAGTTTTAAAACTTCAAACAAGAACTCTTATTAAGGTTCAGAGCGTTCAGAGTGAACGGAGCGAAAAATAGTTTACGTGCGACTGATGCTTGTGTCCACTAGGTACCCCTGGCCGTGCCTGTAGCACACGCCAAGCCTGTGGTTGCCGTCGAGCCCGTGGCCCTGGCCAAGCCCCTCTACAAGCCCTACTCGGCCCTGGGCGCGGACTACAGTGACGTGGCGTACGCGCCCGCCCCAATCGGTGAGTACGCTCATGGCCAATAAGTACGCTCATAGCCCTGGAGTACCCTCATGAAGGCAAGCACGCGTGAACATTATGCTTCTGTCGCAACAGTGGAGCACCCCCACCTGACGCAGGCCTCCATCGGCGCGCCGGCTCACTTCCAAGAGTACGACGTGTACGACGAGGCCGGCAGCTACCTGGGCCTCCTCGGCAGCAACGGCCAGTACACGGCGGCGGCCTCCGCGCCCCACGAAGCCTACTCGCAGTACGACGGCTACTACTAGAGCTGCCGATCGTGGCAGATGTCTGAAAACAGCGCTGCGTTTTGGGCTCCGAAGTGAACTGGGGGTGGCAGAGAATCACCGCTGCCGCCCACAGATGTCATATAGTGCCAACCTCAGGAAAAAGAACAGGACGACGTGCCGCGAGGCACCGCGACCATGCTTAAACTTAAACAGTTGCCTCCCCCGAGTATTACAACTATTTACAATAATTTATACAGATGATAGAAGGAGGTAACTCGGAGGTCGCTTCTTGGGAACCGACCAGCCAGGCGACAGTGCTGTGCGACTAGGGTATGAATGTTGTTGTGCTGTAAATATGGCTACCCCGTTATTTTGTATGATAATAATAGTAGTAATAATAATTTATAATGCGTACTGAATGCCGCGAAAGCACAAGTCACTGACATAACGATGACGATGATCTGGTCACATTCCTGTTGTTATCATTGCCAAATAAAATGTTTCCTTCTTCAACGACCTTTTTAGTTAATCACGGGCCACTTTGATTTTTCGTAAACTAGATGACAGACAACTCGCCCCGGTTAACTTTGACGCAGTTAACTCACCCCAGGTCCAATATTCTGTACAAAAAACTCAATTGTTTCCGCCGACCTATTTCTAAGTGTTTTTATGAATTGTAAAATTACGGTAAAGTATGAAACAGAAAGAAAATATGGAAAATATTTAGAAGTGATGTACCATCTCTCTCATCGATAAAAATATAATTTGTCCAATCAAAGGATGCAAATTTTTGTAACTCGTTAGATTTAGAACTAAGATCTAGTTACAATGTTCACAAACACCCAAACACCCAAACACACAAACACACATATCACACTAAATGAGACACAAATAAAGTCATTTGTACCTAGTCTAGGTACAGGTTGTAACTTTTCAGATACAAATTTGCATCCGCTAGAGATGTTCTTAAGAACGCATCTCTCCTGGATACAAAATTGCCCTTTCCCCATTTAGAGTGTATTTTTTGGAACAAAAGTGTCCATAGATTTATAGTGCACGAATCCTACATGGTATTAATTAATAATCTTTGGTAATCACAGGTTATCATTGGTAATCTTTACTGCTTGGTAATCCAGTGTACACATTTTTCTTACTTTTCTTGAGTTGGGCACCACCTATGCTGACAGAGGCTCGTTGGCTAGACTATTGTCACTTTTATTGCGATCATATGATTGGGAGGCATCGATCGCAACGAGCGGCACTACTCCATGCTCCGCAACAACTCGAGGCAGGGAGTACCGCCGTGGAGGGAATTACCGGATGCGTTGAGCGGAGCTGGTTCAGCGTTCCGCCACGGCCTTGCGGCCCAAGGGCCCCGTGCAGCCTGAGAGGGGGGCGGGGAGGGGGGAAGGGTGGTGCACCCCCCCTTCTTTCTGGATGGTCACTTTTCCATGATAAATC